GCGATGTCCAAAGGATGATCATTCAGGTGGATTTTGGAGATGGCACTGCCGTGTCATATGCTAACCTCAGCTCGACAGAGGACGGGATCAAGCACGTCTACCAGAACGTGGGCATATTCCGAGTCACCGTGCAAGTGGAAAACAGCCTGGGATTGGACAGCGCAGTCCTGTACTTACATGTAACTTGTATGTTATTACTGGCGATGTCCAAAGGATGATCATTCAGGTGGATTTTGGAGATGGCACTGCCGTGTCATATGCTAACCTCAGCTCGACAGAGGACGGGATCAAGCACGTCTACCAGAACGTGGGCATATTCCGAGTCACCGTGCAAGTGGAAAACAGCCTGGGATTGGACAGCGCAGTCCTGTACTTACATGTAACTTGTATGTTATTACTGTTGTTGGTTTACAACATATCTAAAAGAAACACTGCGTTCTATAGAGACTATTCAGGGTCTCCCTGTCTGAGACATGGGCACAGTCAGAGAGGGTGAATTTTCGTCCCTCCCAAACTGAAAGTCTTAGAATCCAAAAACTATTCACAGATAATGGCCAATTTTAAAAAAAACAACTCACTTTTAGTGCCTCAAATTTCAGATGCCCCGTTTGAGAGGCCTTTAGAAAAGGGATCTGATTTTCAAAACATAGATGCTCAGCACTTTCTAAAAATTATGCTCCTTTAAGATCTCAAAATGCTGCATCCAGAATCACTGGACACTTTTAAAATGTTTTGTCTGTTCGTAGATGTAGGATCACTTTCCCATTACTGAAATGCAGCCACTTCTGGGGTGGAAATCAAGTAAATTTCACCCTTTCTGTTATCATGGCAACCATATTCCTAAAACTGGAGAAAGTTACAAGAAAAATAATATCTTCCACCCCCACTGCTTTCCTTTTGAATCTTCTTCTATCTCAACTGTTGCCGATGTAAAACCCACATTTACTTCTGCCCCTATAGAGAGCTCATGTTATTTCCTTTTTATTCTGGCTAATAGTTGGTCCAAGCTACAAAGCTCTGGCCCACATCTGACTCAGGTTTATATCCAGGATTTTGTGTGTGTGTGTGTGTGTGTGTGTGTGTGTGTGTGAGAGAGAGAGAGAGAGAGAGAGAGAGAGAGAGAGAAGGGAAATGGAGTTGTGTGTGTGAAGGGGAATGGTTTGTGTGTGTGTGTGAGAGAGAGAGAAGGGGAATGGAGTTGTGTGTGTGAAGGGGAATGGAGTTGTGCTGGGAGAGGAGGGAAGGGGTTTATTGTACCTGCATGTTATTCAGAAAGGAAATATGGCTAAAGAAATTGTTCCTTAATTAATACCTGACACTTCTATAGCATACTATGTCAAAGCATTCAGCAAGTCCCATGCACATGTAACCTCCCTGGCTTACGCGGGTGCAGGCCACATTCCCCTATGTGCCTGGGCGCCTGATGTTGTTGATATTGAGGGAGACCCTGGACATCCCTGTCAGTGGGGCTGACAGCCACTGAGGGCCCTGCGACAAGATATGTGGGGGAGCCGGCTCCATGCCTTCAGTAGGGGCAGGCCCAGGGACTAAGGAGCTGGACTGAGGGCACTCAGCCCTTTGTGCTGCCCTCCACGCCCCCTCCCCGCGGCCCTCAGAGCTGCATGGAGCGATGGAGCCGTGCTTCTGCAGCCATTCAAAGGGACACAAGGTTTGACCACCACTGCCAGTGGCTGGGCGCACGACACCCCTTTGAATCTGCAGGTCCCAGGATAACTCCTCCCTTTGCCCCACCCCCCTATTGGCAGGCCTGATCCCAGTGGTGATGATGGATAGGTGGGAATCCTCTATCCACCTCTTTGCTGCCCTCCCTTGCCTCTAAAGGAATTCACAACTGGTTGTGTCTCCACCTGGCTGGCCATTGTAGACACTCAATGGCACGCCCGGGAAACGTCCAGGAATAAACCCAGCAATGATCTGTCACATGGCCCTAACTCAGAACTAACAATATATAAATAATAGGCATGCAAGGCACTTACATTAGACCCAACACATCTTGACTTGGCAACTTAGAGGGATTGAGTTTAACAGACTAGGATTAAATATCACTCCTAATTTAAACCCGCAGAGTGCAGTTGAATAAAATCAATTAACAAATAAAGTATGCAGGAATAAATGAAACTTACCTGGCATTTATGTAACCCACACACCTAGGCTATGTCTACACTGGCACGATCTTGTGCCAGAGCTATGCAAATGAGGCTAAGCATATCTAATGAGCCGCCATTTTTACGGAAGAGGCTCTTGCGTAACAGCATGGCGCAAGAGGATTTTTCTTGCACAAGAAGGGGCAGTGTAGACAGTTCCTTCTTGCACAGGAGCCTCTCATGCTGTTACGCAAGAGCCTCTTCCGTAAAAATGGCGGCTCATTAGATATGCTTAGCCTCATTTGCATAGCTCTGGCGCAAGATCGCGCCAGTGTAGACATAGCCCTAGTGTGGTTACCATGCAGTGGCGCCTAGCCCACAGCAACAGTTAAGACCAAGAGACCTCTACAGCATGGGCTGGGAACCAGGTGGCTTTTAGCTCAGAGGGTAGAGGCTCCTACACTGTGCTTCGGATGGCCTAGGTTCAAATCTGCCTGGTGGTGGTTATATTTACACTGCCACCATTTCCCCCCCGCAGCGTACACGCCTCTGAATTTCAGTCCCAGACGCTGGCATGGGAGCGCTTGCAGACCTATCGCGGGAGTGGTGCAGGTTGTATGTGTCAGCCCAGCCAAGGTGGCAAACTGCACAACCCCTCTGAAAGTGGAGTTGGCCCCACCAATGCCCGGTTTCACTGGGCAGATCACTTTGCCCCTCCTCGGACACAGGCTCAGGCTCTCTGCTGTGCTCCTTCCTCTGCAAGCTTGTTGCCAAACCATAGTCCCAGTTACCATTCCTGCCCTGCATACTCTGCTCTGTCTGCTCCAGGCACAGCCAGAGTCTCTCCTTCCTTCTGGGACAGCCTCCTACAGCCTCTGAAGCTCCCTGCTCGATGTAAGCCCCAGCTCGATCTAAGCCCCAGCAGCAGATCCTGGTCTGGACAGAGCTCCAAACCCACAATCTTGCTCCTCTGCAAAATGCAACCCACCACCTGCTCTCTCTCCACTGCCAGGAAGAGGAACAGTTTCCCCCAAGGCATCATGGGAGTTGTAGTCTCTAAAGCCAGCTTCCAACACACAGGATATTCCCACTAAAATTCAGAGGCTCCAATAATAAAGGCGGACTACACAGAGATTGCAACTTGGAGGTTACTTTATTCACCAAGATAGCAGCTGTTTGTGGGGTGCAAGGCAGCAGCTGTTTAGCAACACTCTGAACAGGTCAAGGCAGAGTGAAGTATAGTCCTATAGTTACTGAAAACTAGAGGGGAACTTACCGGGACAGTACGACTTATAGCTCTTCTCGAAGATGCCAGGATAGATTTCGGGTGCGATTTTCAAAAGCCACCTGTGTGGGACTTGGGCTCCCAACTCCCACTCATAGTCTTTGGACAATCACCCCTCTTAATAATCACAGGAGGTCAGGACCCCGATTTTATGCCTCATGTTAAAAATGTCACCTTGTGCAGCACAGCCCCTCCTAGCATCATGCCAGGGCTTTGATTCCAAAATTAATGCCGTAGGGAATGTCTGTACAGAAGGGCAAAAGTAGAGTTAAGGTACGTAAGTCCAGCTATGTCAATTGCATAGTTGAAGTCAAAGTAGCTTAATTCAGTTTTTGGCGCGGTCTACACAACAGGAAGTCAAAGGAAGAACACCGTTCCTTCGACTTCCCTTACTCCTCGGGCAACGAGGGTTACAGAAGTCAGAGTAAGATGCCTGCTATTTCAAAATTACTTTGAAAGAATAGATTTGCCGTGTAGACGCGCACTCTGTTATTTCAAAATAATGGGAGCTATTTTGAAATAAGCGTGTGGTGTGGACATAGCCGTAGAGAACTGAAACTTCTTTCATCTTACACTCCTCTATAACTTGGATTTCACATTTTGGGACTTCAGCCACGTGGTTCCGTATGATGATGCTTTTGCAGATAAAGGAGACCCTTGCGGAATCGATATTCGTGAGTTTGTGTATTCGTGGGTCTCTCCCATTTCCCCTATTGCACAGGGCCTCAGGGAGTTAACGGACAAAAGCAGCAATCAGCCACTTCTCTCTTGTGCTCACTATGATAGCCGAGAGCCGCAGGTAGCTCACCACTGAGGCCGGGTTCCACAGTGAGTTCAAAAGTCACAGGAAACTCCCCACAGGGGCTTGGAGTCTCAGAGACTCACTACAGTGGCCAGGGGCTGCCTCCCTCTCTCCCCCCTCCCCCCACCCAGTATTCTGAATTTGGCCATTTGCAGTGGTGCCAGGAATGAATGCACCACGAATGGCAAAGACTTACTGCAGAGGGAATGTCTCGCCTTTGGGGCCAAGGCTGAGTTTTTTCTTAGCAGAATATTTGTCTTGGTGTAAAGCCCTATTGAAATTAGACAGACAGAGGCCTGTGTTTGTGAAGGCAAAAGATGCTGTGTACAGATTTTTTTAAACTTTCTTATTCAATGTTGACTCATCAGTCACGGTGTGGGTTTGGCTCTCGAGACAAACCAATAACTATACCTTGTTCTCTGCGGAAAAGCCAGTTCTTTGCTCCCTCTTAGCCTCCCCTGCCGCCTCCCCTTTATGGAACAGTTAGCAGATTGTGAGGCAGGGGTATGGAAAAGCCAGTTCTTTGCTCCCTCTCAGCCTCCCCTGTCTTCCTCTTTATGGAACAGTTAGCAGATTGTGAGGCAGGGGTAATTTCTAATAGATTGTGCAAATCCCTGGAAACAAATGTGGAATTGGTTTGGTGGTAATATTTCCAGGGAGGTTCTGACAGTGTCTGGCATGCAGGCGTTGTAATCAGCTGCAGCTTAACAAGAGGAGTTTTCATGGGGACAATCATCATTATTCTCTTGTTTGAAAACGAATGAGCCTGCATGATACAATAGATGTTTTCTTATGCAGCTCACAAATGGAAAAGAGAAAGCAGTTGTCTAACTCAGCCACCTGCAGTTATTTCCTGTCGGGCCAGCTGATCGAATGAGCCCGTAGCCTTTGGACACTGCAAAGTGATACTTACAAAGGTGGCCTTTGTATCTTTTTAAGTGATACAATTTTCAAAATGGCCTAAGCGACTTAGGACCCTAAGTCCTATTAATTGGCCTTAGATTTCCAATATAAGACAAGCATTCATAGATCTACCTTGATATTCTGAAATCTCATTAAAAGTCTGAGTGCAATAGTGGTTTTTGGATGGGCTTTTTGTACCATTCCCATATCAAATTACATTTACTGGTACAAAAATGCATTTTATATTTAATCTGTTTCACTCACCACCCATTGCCCTTGTCACTTCCCTGATACTGCCACAGTCTCTGGGCAGACTTGGTTCCCGTGAGCCAAGGTGGAATAGTACTCAGTTTGCCAGCTGTAAACAGCCACAGAGGGTTGGAAATCAGGGTTGTTCAAGGGAAGTTGGGGGCTTTTTAGCTACACCTTTTCCTACAGACCTCAATTCTCCTGCCATGCCAGCTGCAGGGTAGTGGCATGGCGCAAGGAATCTTCCACCCAATTCACACCACTAGCAATCACCTTTAACCTGAAGACTCATGTGTCCTGGGGCCCATATTACAGCAGCAGTGAGGAACCAAGGATCAGGAGAGTGAGCAAAAATGAGATTTATGCCACCTGTAGGCATGCACATCCATTGGGCTCTGATTGCAAACCACTTCTTTAGCATTAACACCATCTCTGAATCATCTCTGCAGGCATTTTAGGCCAACAGGCAACTTATTCAATCTCCCTGCCTGTTGCTTTTACTCTAAAATCATGTACCATGTTAAAGAAACTCTTTGGATACAGGTCAACCCTACCCAAGTGATGTTCTCACTGACAATTCTGTGATCCCGAAACATCTCCTGTGGGCACCGGCAGTGATCTTGGGCAAGAGGCAGAGGTGTAATGATGAAATGATTCATCGATGGCACATAAAATGGGGGAATGCAATTCCCTTGTAATAGGACAAGAGTTCTCTTCCCCCCTCATATGCCTATATAGAGTGATACAGTGCCACCTGCTGTTCAGCCAATGCAGTCCAAACAGCATGTCCATTGGAATGCAGATGTTCAATAACTGGGACGTGCCTCCTGAGTCTTTCGTTTTCTATCATAACAAGGAAGCAGTGAAGGCCTGAAAGGGCATTAAACACTCAGGCTGTGTCTACATTGGCACCCTTTTCCGGAAAAGGGATGCTAATGAGACACTTCAGAATTGCAAATGCCGCGGGGGATTTAAATATCCCCGCTGCATTTGCATGAACATGGCTGCCGCTTTTTTCTGGCTCGGGGCTTTGCTGGAGGAAAGCGCCAGTCTAGACGGGATCTTTCGGAAAATAAAGCCTTTTCCAAAAGGTCCCTTATTCCAAAGTGTATCATTAGCATCCCTTTTCCAGAAAAGGGTGCCAATGTAGACACAGCCTCGGCGTTTCCAGAGACATTCTCAGCACCAATATAAAAACGAGTAGTCCTGTGGCACTTGAGAGACTAAGAAAAAAATATAGGGTCATGAGCTCTCTCTCTCTCGTGCTCTCTCTCTCTCTCTCTCTATGGCTACGTCTACATTGGCCCCTTCTCCGGAAGAGGCATGTTAATTTCCAACTTCAGAATAGGGAAATCCGCGGGGGATTTAAATATCCCCCACGGGATTTAAATAAACATGGCCGCCGCTTTTTTTCCAGCTTGGGGAAAAGCCGGAAAAAAGCGTCTAGACTGGCGCGATCCTCCGGAATAAAGCCCTTTTCCGGAGGATCTCTTATTCCTATATATGTTTGTTAGTCTTCAAGGCTAGGTCTACACTAGGGGATAACTTCGAATTAAGATATGCTACTCCAGCTACGTTATTTGCATAACTTGAGTCGAAATAGCTTAAATCAAATTTTGTATCTGTCCACACTGCAGGAAGTTGATGGAAGCACACTCTCCCTTTGGCTTCCCTTACTCGTAACTTGAGTCGAAGTAGCTTAAATCAAATTTTGGATCCATCCACATTGCAGGAAGTTGATGGAATCACACTCTCCCTTTGGCTTCCCTTACTCCTCGTAGGAGCAGGACCACCAGCACCAACAGGAGCACCGTCTCAGTTAGAATTAGCGTACCTTTATTAGATGCACTCATTTGAACCTTGGAGGATCGACTGTGGCAGCTTTGATCTTCTCCGTAATGTAGACATCGCCAAAGGTGTCACAGGACTACTTGTTGTTTTTAAAGTTACAGACTAACATGGCGACTCCTCTGAGAGTCAGCACCCATATGTTTATCTATTGCTTTAAACACAAGGTAAACTGGCCTCAGTGGGAACTCTGTTGGAGATGACATAGTTCATGGTCCCACTTACAGCTTGACCACTTTGCTGACACTTTAGAGTCTTTCTCCTTTGCATTTTCTGCTGCTCCTGGACACTTGGGCTACATTTACACTGCAACGCTATCTCGGGATACCAGAATATCCCAAAATAGTTTTCCTGCATCTTAACAGCATGCCCATTATTTCAGGCTCGCTATTCCAACATCCCTGTAAACCTCACGAGGAGTAAAGAACATTCCACGAGAAGTAAGGGACATTTCAGAATCACCGATTATTTCTAAATTTGGTGTTGTGTTTCTATATCTAAATAAGATTTCTAAATAAGATTGAAATAAGATATGCAATTTGTATAGCTCAAATTGCATATATTATTTCAAACTATGGTGCAATGTAGATGTACCCTTGGTGAATTCAGAACAAGGGCACCTCTCTTGAAATACACACAAGCCTGGACAATGATTTATTTCAGTTCTGACTCCATACCGGAGACTAGACTCTATCAGCAATTCTCCGGTGGCTGTAGAGTATACAAAGGAGTAGGACAAAATTCTCCAGAGCTTCCAAAGTGTGAGGAAAAATAGGAATAGTCAATAACTCTTGGAGATGAGGCAGGGGATCCACCGGCAGCCATCAGAACAAAGATTACCCATAATCCTGGTCTGCAACAACTCCATGCTAGGCAGATCCTGAATGCCCCTTGACCGTACAGTGGTGCTGGGTGGTGTTTAACAGTTGTCACATTTCTACCTCAGAGGCGGCTGCATTTCAGTGGGGTAGCACAGAGCCTGAGTATTCATCTTAAGCATAGTCATTTACACCTTCTGAGCGCTCACATTTTGTAGCCACTCTGCACAGGTGTAAATGATTATGGTGCTAAGCAGTGGGGAAGGAGCTCACATTGTTCTTTGTGGACAAATAACATTCCACAAAAGATGCTATAGATATGTGAAATCACATGGGCAGCACTGGTGTCAAATAGAGGCTTCCTTAATGGAACATCCAGACCACTCCTGGATACCGAAAATTAGTTGGATGTCCTCAATTCAGTATTTGGAGCTTCTGGGTGCAGGATTGGGACTGAGCCTGTACTGGAGAACTGTGCTCTAAAATTACCTTCTGGTTGGTGTTTTCTCTCTTCTTTTTGTTAAGGAGCACGCTACTATTCCCCAGAGGAATGACAGTGATATATATAGAAAACAAATTATAAAACAAGTTTTGATTACAGACCACTTCCCTGCACCCACATCCCTTCCACCAAAGTGGGAAAAAGGACTAGCTAGAGCAAGTTCCAATGTAAATTTAGTTGGTCCATTAAACTACAAAACTTGGCATGCTATGGAAACAAAAGGCACACTCTAGATGAGAGAAAAGGACCACATGGGAAAGGAAAAACTAGCGCTAAAAGGAAAAGATTCGAGGGATAGATGTTTTGGTCCAGGTCTTGTAATTATATAAATCCACATAGCTCCACTGCAGTTCATGGAGTTATACCCAGCTGGTGTCTGGTTTTTTTTTTTTTAGGAATGGATCCCAAGTATTTGTAATATTATTATACTTCTCCTAGTGCAAATTTGAGTGTACCTCCAGAGTAGTCCATATAATATGTCTGTCTCCTCCTAGCGGTAGTCCATGTATATAAGTTTGAGTCTGCTACCACCTTTCTGTAGAAGTCGGGTGCGTTAGTCCAGGTAGTAGCAAATCCTGGTTTTTGATGCATGAGTCTCAAGTGTCTCTTCCCAACAGCCGTACAAAGCTGGAACGCGTTGCTCACACTGCCTCACATGACTTTCTTCTTCACTGTGTCATGCTTCCCCCGTTCGCCACTGCTTCTCTCTCTGCAGGCCCCCTGGAACATGTTCATTTGTCTCTCCCATTTGTGACGACCAAGAACAAAGAAGTCAATGCTACGGCGGTACTGTGGCCCAACCAGGTGGGCACGCTGACTTACATTTGGTGGTTCGGGAACAACACTGAGGTTTGTATTCCCCGAAAGAGCCATCACAAACCAGTTTAGGGGAATAACATATTCATGAGTGGGCGGGGCTGGTGAATACTCTTGAATAGTGGACTATCTAGTCCAGTGGCTTGCCTCTGCCAGTGGCCAGCACCAGGGCCTTCACAGCAGGATGTACCATACTCCACAGTATATGCAAATCAGCCCATTATTTTTTAAAAATATTTAGCTATCCCTGCGTAGGGCTAATTTGAATTTTATGCAAATACATAACCCCCTATTGGATAATGCAGAGGAGATCTGATTGCAAAGTAGGCTAAAATGTTTTTTCTTTCTTTCTTTAACTCAAACTCAAATTTGACAATTTTTACAAAACTCTCTGTGCTGACGTTTTCCGTTCATTTGGAGCTGCCTCTGCGTAGCTGGAGGATGGAAACCCTGTTCCCTTGTCTGTGTGTCGTGCATGACTAACAAGAAGGAAAACTTTTTATCAGCAACTCCAACACCTACCCTCTAACCTAATGCAAAGTTCTCATTTTGTCTGTTAAACTATGTATGCAATAATTTCTCATTATGACACTCTGGGGGATGCAAAAGCTGCACTGTACATCTAGCTGCCTACAGTCGCTTCTTACCATAAATAGCGCATATACGACTTTCTGCTGTCTCTTTAGTTAGATTGCCTGCAAATGTTAACCAGGTGCTTTGTCGTCGTTGTTTATCTGTATACAGAAGTACCCAAAGGTGCCAGTTAGATTCTGGGGGTAAAGGTTTCATAGATGATGAACCCAGAAAGGGCCATTAGATCACCTAGTGCTACTTCCTGCATAGTGAGGTCCTATCATTTTACCCAGTAATCCCTGCATGAGCCTGTGTTTTATGACTGAGCTAGACTATGATTTTAGTGTGGCAACGCTCTGGCCATGTCCTGAGGGCCCTGCACTTCCTGGCAGTTAAAGTTTGCCTCAGAGGCGCGCTGTGACCCTCCACCCAGCCTCTAGCCCATTGGGCCATCCCCATCATAGGCTAGTCTATGGCTTGGCATGAAACCCCTCCCTAGTCCTGGTCCCTTCTCTCAGGGGCAGACTCTGTAGTGGCGTGGGAAGGGCTGAGGGGAACCTGAGCCCACCCACCACTCCGGGTTCCGGCCCAAGGACCCTAAGGCAGTGGCAACGGGCAGCGTTTCCTCCACTCCCGGTGTCACAGCCTGTTCCTGGGTCACTTCCCCAAACAATCCCTCCTAGTATCTCCTCCCTGGTACCCGACAATCCTTCCTGCTCCCCCACAGCCCTCTTCCACGCTCCCATCCCTCGCTCTCTCCGGGCACCTCCTCACTCTCCGTCCTTGGCCTCCTCCTGCCCTTCCTGAGGGGAAGCCTTTTGAATTGGCCCCAGCAGGCCTTCAATGGCTGCAGGGGCCCTGATTAGCCTGCTGCCTCAGGCAAGCTCTTAAATGGCCCCCGGGGCCTGCCGGCCTTGATTACGTGGCAGCAGTGCCTGGCCAGTGCACTCAGGGAACAGAAAACTATTCACCCAGTTTCCTGTATATTTGCCCTCCACCGAGCTACTGTTCCAGCTGCCTTGATTTAAAAACATCATTTGATGGAGCATCTACTCTACAACCTTAGGTAAGTTTTTCCAGTGGTTAATGAACCCGGTTAAAATGGCACCTTATTTTTAACTTGTATTAACTTAGCTTCCGGTTCTAGTCATTGGATCTTGTCATACCTTTGTCTGCTAGACTGAAGAGCCCTCTAGTGTCAGATCATCTTCCTGTGTAGTTTCTCACAGACCGTGATGGCCACCATATTCTAGCTCAGTCATAAGACACAGGGCTCTTGTAGGGATTAATGTCTCATGCAGAGATTAATGGGTAAAATGATATGACCTCACTATGCAGGAGCTCATCCTACATGATCTAGTGGTCTCTTCTGGCCTCATCATCAACGAACATTTTACCCTCGGCATCTCGTCAAGCTCTCAGTGATTAGGGGTGACCTAACTGCTCCCATGGAAGTCGATGGGAGTTCTGCCACTGACCTCAATGGGAGCAGAGTTAGATTAACTTGGGGTGCTTTTGGAAATCCAAGGCAGGAGAAGAATACAGGAGGTTATGGCGGCGGGCACTGGGTGAGGTAAGAAAGGCCAGTACTGCAAGCACTAGGATAGTGTCTTAACACACATACATGGTAGCTTAGCATTCCTCCAGCAGAACATTGTGTAACCATGAGCATCTTCAGATAAATGGTGTTATTCCATTGGTCACAATGAAGCAAATGTCAGAGGCCCAAACCTTCCCTAACCCTTCATTCCGGTAAGGTAATCGCGGTGTCATGGAGGCCCCCTTAGGCTTTTGCAGGAGAAATCTGGGTCAATTCCCAGCTTTGTTACAAACTCTGCATGACCCAGCGCAGGCTACTTTGGTTGTGTGTGTCCCGGCTCCTCAGTTGTACAGTGGGGATAATGAACTTCCCTTTCCATTTGCTTGTTCAAAACATAATCCCTCTGTGGTGATGACAGCCCCTTGCTTCTACTCAGCACTTAACACAAATGGGCCCCAGTTTTGTTGGTGGCCTCCATGCTACCGTAATGCAACTACGAGGAAGTGAGTTTTAAATGAGATAATTTTGTATTTCCATTTAAAAAAACCCCACCTTTTAAGATCTCAGGTCATAAACCTAGGATGGAGAAACTAGTCAAGGAGTAAAGAATCACTCCCCCATCTTCCCTCATAGCTCCAATGCACAATATACCTAACCTCCCTCCTGTTTGGCCCAGCAGAGGTAGGACTTCAGGGATTGGGAAGATCAATTGGCAACGTAATTCCCCCTTTTCTCATGTGTTTGCAGCCGCTGGTAACCCTGGAGGGGAGCATCGCATTCACGTTCTCTGGGGAAGGGATGAACACCATCACGGTACAGGTCTCGGCAGGGAACACCATTCTACAGGACACGAAAACTATTGCAGTATATGGTGAGCCCTTACCCTTATATTCATCTCTTGATTCTTCCCCCCCCCCCCCCCCCACAGGGTGAGATTATAGCAGCATAGACGTATCCAGAGCAAGTGTGCTGTGTTTGTGATGCATCAGTACTTTCTACATTGACATATTGCACCCAGCGCTTATTAAAAGAGAAGCACAGCAGGATTGCTCCAGAATGCTTTAGGGCAGATTCTGCTCTCAGTTAACTGAGGTACATCCAGAGTAACTTCTCTGAAGGCAACTGGAGTTAATCCAAATTTACACTGGCCCACTGGAGACTAGACTCTTGCTTTACAGTACAGCCTCTTCTAGATGATTATTGTACAGTAGAACCTCAGAATTAGGAACACCAGAATTATGAACTGACCAGTCAACCACAAACCACATTTACCACCAGAAATTCACAATCAGACAGCAGCAGACAAAAGCAACCACAACGAAAAGCAAATCCAGTACTATGTGTAGTGTAAACGGCTAAAAAAGAAAGCACCATTTTTCTTACGCACGATAAAGTTTCAAAGCTGTATTGAGTCAACGTTCAGTTGTAACCTTCTGAAGGAACAACCCTCCCATTTTGTTCAGTGTTACCGCCATTTCAGAGAGACACCGAATCTCCACTCCAAAGATGTTCAGAACTCTGAAGTTCTACTGTTCAATTTACACTGGCCTCCAGAGGACTAGCCTCTTGCTTTACAATAGAGCCACTTCTAGATGATTTAGCATTTATAATTTCATAGATGACCATTGGAAAAGTGAGATATGTTACTGGCTGGATTAACTCCATTGACAAGCAGATGTCCTGTCCCGGTATGTGCAAAACCTGGATTGATCTGTGTCCAGCATAGCACAGTCGACTTTTGTCTCTCCCCGGTATTGCAAGCGCAGATCACAGAGCTATGTTGGATAGTCTTCCTGCTTTGGGCGATTTCATGCCTCTAATGGAATTATGCCTTCTCTAGACACCATTCAATCAGGCTTTGATCCTTGGGCCTCATACAGATACTCTAGAAGAGCAATGGTGTTTCCCTGTGGAGTAGAGGAGATTGTGCCACATGTCCGGTATTTGCAGACATCTCCACACTGTTCAGATGATAACTCTGCTGAGAACCGTGCTGTGTTACCAATGGGCTGCCTTCTCCGCTAGGCTAGGGAACTCTCCAGATCATGTAGGCCCCCGTGAAAGCTTAGGGCAGCTTGAACTGCTCTCAGCTGCCCCAGGGACCATACCAGCCATAAAGGTCACCAATGCAAGCCAGTGCTCTGATCACATCTGCTTTCTCTGCCCCGTCCTCAACACAACTCTTGTCTGATGGCCACGAGGGGAGGTGGTGGTGAGGGCATCAACCCCCCACCTCCCCGCTCTCGCCCTACCTCTGCTGGAGGTTGGGACCAGGAGGTTATTCTGACAAACTCCCTGCCCTGGGAATTGGAAAGAGCTGATGGAGAAGAACTAGAGTAGCCCCATGCTGGGGAAAGTCCCAGGAAATGAGGTAAGCCAGCGTAACAACCCCTTCATGCTGCTGGAGCATGGTCGAGAGCTTATAGTGTGGCTGAGATGCTGGCACAGTGTAGATTTCTAGTGTACAGCATATATGGGTCCAGTGAAGGGCATATATTATTGGATTGTTTGCTAACTACCTCCCACCCAGCTCATGAGAGATTCCCCAACACTTAGCACCAGCCTAGAGACATGGGATTCATCACAGATTAAAGGGGAAATTATTTTTAGAAAATATTGGCAGTGCGGTGGAAGCACCCCGGCAAACATAACCAGCACTGCGAACAGCGATGGAAATAGTGAAAGATGCTCACCGAGTTCCTTTTTTACTTCTTATCCCAAGGTTGTTTCAGTGCGACAGTTTCTCCCAGGGTGGTGGATATAAATGCGCAGTGTCTCGCTACCAGAGCATCTGTTAAAATCCCATCCAAATCCCAAAGCAGCTTTCTTTTTCCATATTTCAGGAGCCATGTTTTAGTGTAACATTTCAGTTCAATTCCCCGTTCCAGCACCCCTGCTGCTCAATATGGTAAAGTCATTACGACGCTGCTTCACTTCTTTCAAGTGCAGCTTCTGAGTGTTTCATTTGCATCCTTTCATGCGATAAACATCCTAATGACTAGATAAGTCACCTGCCTTTTGGAAAGGAAAAGGAAAAGAAAAAAAAAACAACAACACAACCGCCTACATGAGGAGCTTCCTGGCTCTGAGTTTTGTTCCATTTTGTGACACGCTTGACGAGTTGACCGTTCATTGCTCTTTGGGCTGAAATTAAGGAACGTGACCAGTGGCATATAAAAGAGTCAATTTATGAATGGCACAAATTTTAAATTGCTTGGTAAGTTTCAGTCCATTTCCCAGTTGACAAATATCCACGTGGAAAAACAGACAATCCTCACTATTGACATCCTTCTGGGGAGTCCCAGCTGAAACCCCAAGGGCTGATTGGCCAGTCTGATTTACCCTGGAAACGGTTACTATAAGTCAAGCCATAGCTCCATCGGCAAGGCAACATGGAGTCACTTGCATTGCTCCCCCTGGTTCTATGCCTATTTCTTAGGTGAACCATGACCTTCCATCTTGGGGCTGATTGATCTGCTTCTCCAATGCAAAGTTCGCACACACAAATTGCATGAAACAAGGACACAAATCTCTGTAAATCAGCGTAGCTCCTTTGGCTTGAATGGAGGCACCTCCATTTACACCAGCTGAGTATCTGGCCCTGAAGGTTATAGAGCCATATGTGCCCAGTCTATAAATGTAGGACCAGTTATAAAGTTCAGCAGTTGAATGGCATTACTCAGTAAATGACCTTGTGCACAACGCAATCAAATATGGAAGGACAAGGATGCCTTTCTGGATGTGCGTAAGTGCTTTGCTAACCAGTGGTGTTAGAATGACGTACTCTCCTCATAGTGTGGGGGGGGGGGGAAGGAGGGAGGGAGTTCTCATCACTGTTCCTGAGTTGGGAACTGTGATGGAATGGAAACGTTGGGAATGTTATGGAGCTGTTTGAGCCATTGCTTTGGGACTCACATCCCCTCCACTTGGTCCACAGCAGCTGGAGCTTGTTAACCCGCAGGTTCATTACAATGCCCATTTCTATGGGTAGCAGAGAGTGTAGTTCTCTGATGGAGATTCTGCAAGCAAGGAGAGGTGACTATGAAGTGGCTGAGACCCTTATTTGAGGGGCAATTGACAGGCTGGTTTATGTATTCATACAAATATTAAGAGTCCCAAAGCCTTTGCAGGGATGCCTTTTTACAGCAGAGTACAAAGTTCAACCTCTCTAGTCTGGCACTTTCTGGTCCGGCAACATCCATTGTCCAGCATGATTTTAGTTACCCAGATGTCCACTTGTCATGGGTGCAGCCAAAAATCCTGTGGTCCCGTAAAGTTTGTTTACAGCCACCTGTTCTGGGTCTCAGTGTTCTGTGCTGTTATTTAACTTTAATTTACCTCTACATGTCTTCTCAGAGCCTGGTACGTTGAGGAATAGTTGGTAATGGTGCTAGACAATACTGACTTCCGGTCAGGTCCCAAGGGTGCCGGACTAGAGAGGTTCAAAGTGTAATGCAAATCTAAACAAATAAAGATTGGATTATGGTTAGAAAAACCTTAGGGTGAGGACGATTAGGGTATTTTTCCGCCTTCTACAATTTTGTGAGTGGTGCCCCAACACCCGTAGCCTTTGGGTGGATACCTGAACTGTTGGCGTAGTGGACATTGATCATCATAGCTCCATTGGCTTCACTGACGCTACAGCCATGTACGATGGCTGTGGATCATTCAGTTGGGATAACTATCCTATTACATTGGCTAAAATCCATCGCAATGTATCGTGTTAGTCTGACAACCCAATACCGCAGTGCTGTCAGGAAGTAACGTGTGTGCCGTTGTATCCCCAGAGCGATTTCAGTCTCTCCGCTTATCGTTCTCTCCAAACCTGGATGAGTACAACCCGGATATTCCCGAGTGGAGACGAGACGTCGGTAGAGTGATCAAGAAAGCACTAGTTGAGGTAACCAATGGGATATGGTTTTTATTCCTTACCACTTCGTTCCCTCCATGATTATTGTGTCTATCCTGGGCCTCGATTTGAAGAACAGAATGATCTGCCCAACCAGGGAGCCAACAGATCTTAGAAAGAGACACACCCCATCGTGGAGGTCTGTTGAAAAGCTGAGCTCTCCAGCCCTATTTTTTGTGTGGATGGGTATAATGTGGGTAGGCCCGATGGGCTTAGGTCATGCTTCTGGGAAGCATCACTCCTTTTTGATTACAGGAGCCAAAGCAGAATACTTCAAAGGAAAGTGTATGCAACATCCAAGTTGCCCCTATGTGGGCAATTTGAACACTGCAGAATAACAATTTCTCCCCTTTGCTGCTGTCTTTATATTTTTTTCTGTCAGTGGCCACTGACCCACAAAAAAAAAATCAGTTGGGGACCACACACATCCTTTCAAAGTGGGTGGGGGGAGAAAAGCTTGGGACTTCCCCAGGCTCTAGGGTGGGGACAGAAAAGAGGGGTTCAGGATGAGGGATGGGGCTTCAGGCTATAGCAGGAGGTTATGAGGCACAACACAGAATGCAATTTCATCTTCAAATCTCATCAAAACATAGAGGAAAAGGAGGAATAGAAAGAAATAATATTTCAATGGGCTTTGGTTTGTAGCCTTTAGATCTCTGTGTGTCTACATCAAGTATCTGATGGCCCATTTGGATTCTAACTTGGTTTTTTCAACATCAATGATGCAATAAAACAAAATCAAATCACTAAAAATAGATTAGAAACCTGGGGTATCAAGGCTATTTGTCAAACCAAAATGATACAAAACCACTAAAATTGTTGTTTATATCAGTGTTGACCTGAAAAAGAGGACTGTGTTGACACTCCATCTATGTCACACAAGTCCTATAGGATTTAGGGCTAAAACCGAGAGAGCATTATAGAAATTAAATAGATCCTCCACAATTACTCTAAAACCTAACTAATTCAATTATCTCCTTGCTATATATATTTTACCAACCTAGACACATTAATGGAAGATTAAGTTCCTACTATAGTATACCGTATGCTTATATAAACATTCTTTAGAAATATCATTGTTCTCTACTAAGTTCTCTGGGTCTGTTCTGTATGATAGATTATGATCTGCCTAATTTGGGATTATCCAATATAATTTTATTTATCATGATCACTCACTCCTCTGGCCCCTCAAACATTGACCCATCCCTTTCAGCCATGTCTAGTACCTGCCTAATGTTGCAGAGAATGGTGAAAAGGCATCTAGTTAATTATCTGAAATGTTACATTTGGGAAAATTCCTTCCTGTCCACTGCAGGTGATCACTTTGGATCCTGGAGGATGAGCAGTGATAGTCCTTGTCTTAGCCTCTTAGCTCGGTGATTACACACAAATCAAACACATGCTCTAAACACAAGACCACAGGAGTTCTGCAATGTGAGGAAGTAAATGTGGGACCATCTCTGCTATCTTTTTTCAGCATTAAGAGCAAGTCTTGGGAGACATATTGTTTCCCTGGTCCAGGAAAGGAGCTTACATTTTCAGCTTCTGAAATTGTACCCCTCAATGTCAAAGCTAAGCTGCTGGACTACTTCCCAAAGATACCTGTGTTTATTGAATTGGCAATATTGATTAAATATAGCGACGGTCGCTGTACACGGATCCCTGCTGTTTCATTTCACTTTGGTTGATCTTGTTTCGCAAGACACAGCCACACAACCAGAGGATAATTAATTACTCTGGGTAGGTAATTCCATTTGCTGACTCACGCAAAGTCTGCTCTGTCCCACCCTGGTTTTGCCCCCTTGGCATTGATGGAGTTGCTGCTGATTCACACCAGTGTGAGATCGAAACGAGGCATTGGAGCTTTTCCTTACACCTGGGTTGTTGAGAGAGAAAACAATAAGGTTGTAACATAAGAATGGCCATACTGGGTCCGACTAAAGATCTAGCCCAGTATCCTGTCTGCCAGCAGTGGCCAATACCAGATAATCCAGAAGGAGGGAACACAACTGGTAATCCTCACGCTATCCCTCTCCTGTCACCCATTTACAGACAAACAGAGGCTAGGGACACCAGTCCTACCCATCCTGGCTAATAGCCATTGATGGACCTAACCTCCATGAATCTAACTAGCTCTTTTTTTGAACCCTGTTAAAGTCCTAGTCTTCACCACATCCTCTGGCAAGGAGTTCCACAGGTTGACTATGCATTGAATGAAGAAAAACAACTTCTTTTTGTTTGTTTTAAACCTGCTGCCTATTAATAATTCCATTTGGTAACCCCCTAGTTCTTATATTATGGGAATAAGTACATAACTTTTCCTTATTCACTTTTTTTCCACACCAGTCATGATTTTATAGACCTGTACATTTCTCACCCACCCATGTCACTAGCCAGCCAACTCTGCTGGAGGGAACAATAAGTAAATATGCGTTTGTTTGATCTCTGCCTCGTCACCAGAGGTATAATTATTTCCGCATCTCTAGGACATTCTAAGACTAGCACCATTGGAGATGCTCAGGATCAGTAATGCAGAATGTGGGCAAAGTCACTCAGCACCAGTCAGTGCCTTTAGGGGCTCACCTACCATACTGATTATGGTATAAAAGCGCAGACAGAACAAGAGTACAGAACAGTACTACTAAGTCCCTGCCCCGGCTTTCACCATCGCTGGTAGATCCCTCAGTGAACCTCCTGCAATGCTTTAACACACGAATTCTTCGTTCCGGGCTACCACTGACGTTTACCTGTCAATGTTTGTCTCTATAACCAGGCAACAAGCATTTCAAGCAAACATATCCTGGTCGCAGTCCTGCCTGGTTTGCCCACATCCGCCGAGCTCTTCATTTTACCATACCAAGATGCCATGGGTGAGAACAAACGAACAGCAGAAGACCTGGATCAGGTATTATTTCCATCTTTGGCAGAGTGGCGGATGTCGTCCATGGGAAGGGGGGCAGGGAAGAGATTTCCAATGCGGGTTAAAAAATAAAAATAAAAAAGGGGGCCATTACATTGCAACCAGTGGGATCAAAACGACGAGCTGGGGCTAGGCTAAGTTCTGGTTGCTTTGCCCCAGGAGTGCAAAGGGGAGTCGGGGATCCCCCAGTGATGTCATTAGCAAATCTGGAATGTTCCATATCTGTGGGGCTAAGCAGCTTGCAACCATGCCGAGCAGTAACCTGCCGAGGGGTTTATGTGAAATGGGGCCGGTTAGTGAGGTATTCTCACCGTGTCTGTTTGCAGGTGAGCATTTGCCACGTCTGGCCTGAACCCCCCACAGGCCCGTCCTCCGCCTTTGGGCCAGGTCCTCAGTGTTGCTAAACCCCTGGAGAGCCAACACTGAGGCCAGGTCCTCAGTGTTGCTAAACCCCTGGAGAGCCAACAGTACCCCTCAGGATTTGCCTCTTGGTCCATAGAACGAATGAACTGAGTCTTCCTCTCGACAGCTAAATCAATCTTGAATTTTCCCTCCCTCTCTGTTAAGTTGATGTCCCCTGGAATTTATTCCCACTGCCATCAGCCCCCTGCAGTGCTTTGTAAACCCGTGTTAATCACACCCTGTTACCAGGCGCAGAACAGCCAGGTCATCTGCCATCTCATACTTACCCTTGCTCGGCCTCCATCTTCTTTAACAAACGACTCATCTCCGCCATTTTCTCCCTGTGCAAGCTATAAACACCCGGGAAGGTTTTACTACCCTGCAACACCTCCCCACCCCCACCCACTCTCCACTGGGAAGAAAGGCTGTGCATCCACTATCTAATTTACCACTGATCAGGGTCCTTCTGCCCTTCGCTGCTTATTGTATTCTACAAATTATTATGAATCTGTTTTTCCTGGTAATCCTGAAGTCTCCATGGTCGTAAAGAAAGGAAATGCTGGCAAGATGTCATAAGCCTTTTCAGGCGAGGGGTGAGCTACAGCTTTCAGAGGGACACCAGCACCATCTCTGCTAGTCGTCTCGAGGGGGCTGTACTGTAATCTTTCAAGTTATATAGTGATAGAAATGTAGCCGTGTTAGTCTGGTGATGTTATCTTTGTAATGGGTTAGTCTTACCCATTACAAAGATAGCTTCCCCAATTATCACCTCTAATATCATTAGCTCACAGACATTTACCTTCCCCCCCCCCCATCCTTCTGTTCTGAAATTTGATTTGTCCTTTTCATATGTGTTCACTTTTTTTTTATTGCATCCTTTGGTATATAAGGTCGTGCCAATTTTCTTCCACTATTTGATCTGAGGAAGTGGGTCTGGCCCACGAAAGCTCATCACCTAATAAACCATCTTGTTAGTCTTTAAAGTGCTGCATAGTCCTGTTTTTTTTTCAGGTTACAGGCATTATTGTCAGGGCATAGCCTGCTGTTTCCTATGGAGCTGCCTCTTTGCCGTTTTCCACCTTGATATTAAAGCGTGTATTTTGTTTTGTGGGTGGAGCGCTAGGGCCCTTCTCTAGTTGACTGTAAACTTAGGATTGTTTTCAGTGGGAACTGTTTGATGCAGGCTCCGTATGCCCCATTCAGCATTCAGAGCACCTGAGACTTGCTCAAATACTGTCCCAGAATGCGAGGGCCTCTGTTGACCCTGTTTTTTCTGAGGTCCCGAACCTTCTCAACTTGCCTCCAAACCCCGGTGGCAGTGTTACCTGGGGTTCTTTCAACTCAAACCTCTCAGTAACTTTTACTCTCTGCGAGGTGATGTCAGGAGATAATTCAGGGGAGACACGGCCATCCAGCTGATAGATGGATGGTACAAATAGGGCAACACAAGAGTGTTTTCACTTAAAGCTAAACTTCACTTAGTTTCAAGCACTTACGTCCACAACAGGTTAGTAAAACACCACCACCCTTGATAGTTACCAAAGTCGTGTGGCTCTTGAGCGGCACCGGGCAGGCTTCCGATAGCCAGTCTTCCGTCTGCCGGTGGGGACAAAGATGCGTCCAAATGTGAAGAGTCCTCAAGGAGTCCTCGAGGTGTCCCACCAAGTGTTCCCAAAATTGTCCCCCTAACTCAAACTTTCCTTCCCTATTTATCCATTAGTATTGCAATAACATGTCTCTCAAAAACTTGTTAGGCAAGTACTTTTTAAAGGTTAGGCAAGAGGTTTTCTTCTGATCATCACGTTCACCAGATGCGTTTTTTCTTTTTCAGAGACTCCATGCCCAGGGGCCCTGATAGATATATGTCTTAGGGCATCTAGACAAACTTCCTGTTTTTCTAAATGTATAGCTCAGCGATTTCACTAGAGATTTGGGCCTCAGGAAGGATGTGGGGTCAAACTGCCCTCTCTGTGGCACCCAAACTCCCCCTTCCCTCCCTGATTTTGGTCATGCAGAAGTTGCAGTCTAGGTCTAATTTGGGCCTGTTAGCTTGGTTGCTAAAGTTTAAGGAGTAAGCAATAGTGGTTCAGGCACATTACTGGATTTGCCGAAATCTCGCCGTACAGCAGCATTTGGATCATTCCCTGAGTTCATGTCTGAGCATTTTATGCCGATGTTTCCTGACCATGACCCTAATTTACTACCTTAGTACTTCACATGTTCCATTCTCTGCTTTTCATTTGCTGGAGGTGGCTAGGTGGAAGTACTGTTGAAATGGATCTGGGACTTACTGTGGATCACAAATTGAATATAAGTCAACAGCGTGATACAGTTGCTAAAAGGCTAAGATCATTGTGCTAACGGAGAGCTGTGTGGGAGGTAACTGTTGTGTGCATTTAGCTGGAGTCGTGTGTCCAATTCGGGGTGCCACCCTTTAAAAAAAGTGGTGACCCACGTGTGGAGAGCCACAAAAAATATGCCAGTTCAGCAAACCTGATGCAGCCTTTTATCTTCTTTAAAGTGAATTTGCGGAGGTTGGATTACACCATTGTGGGTTCGGCTCTGGGGCCTGCAGTTTCAAGCTCAACAGGAGTGAAAGTTGTGTCTGCTACTTGCTTGAGATTTAGAATCTCTAGGAACACAAGGCTCGTGATCACACATACATTCACACGTACAAGGTCTAGTCTGTTGTACAGGTTTTATTAAAGTGCCTATCAAAGTTATGATCACCCAAGCATACAGAACATCCCTAAAACCTATGCACAAGTTATAAGTAGAGTCATACAGCCTGAATCATACAATCATAGAATACTAGGACTGGGAGAGACCTCAAGAGGTCATCATGTCCAGTATCCTGCATTCTCAGCAGGACCAACCACAATCTAGATCATCCCTGATAGATGTTTATCTAACTTGCTCTTCAATATCTCCAGTGTTGGAGATTCCACGACTTCCCTAGGCAATTTATTCCAGTGTTTAACCACCGTGACAGGTAGGAAGTTTTTCCTAATGTCCAACCTAACCCCTCTCTCCCCCCCTTGCTGCAATATAAGCCCATTGCTTCTTGTCCTATCATCAGCAGTTAAGTAGAACAATTTTCCTCTCTCCTCCTTTTAGGTACTTGAAAGCTACTATCATGTCCCCTCTCAGTCTTCTCTTTTCCAAACTAAACTAAAATTAATGATATCCTTAAGGCCTGATGGCTGCCTTACCAATTGAATATCAGTGGGGGAATAATTTCTGTGGCGCTTCCCATCAGGAGCTCAGTTTTCCTAATCTGGGCACCTATTTTATAATGTGATTTTGACTATGTCTCATTAGCATTTATGCACATAGTTTATCTTGCAATTAGGGCATGTGTTTGGAGTCTGTGACTGCTGGGTATCTTGTAAGACAAAAATTACTTTTACTACCACTTTTTCACAGTATCCCCCATTGGTACATCTTCTGTCATCTTGCGGCATGGGGTCATTCTTTCTTCCCTTATGAAAACATTTTGTAAGCCTATGGCCTAGTATGGCTAAGCTAAAATCTGACAGTCTTCTGCCTGTAGCAGGCTTTGTCTTTCATCCCTCCTTAATTAGGCTACATCCAAACTGCAGTGCTTTTCCAGGATACCGGAGGTTTGGCCCCATGGAGCTGCTTCTCGGTATTGCCGTGGCGTCTGACACACGGCTTACTTCTACAACGCCAGCGGATGACAGACTACCCAGTGTCGTTTATGCTCTCGGAGCATTGCTTTACAGTGTGTCACCCCTCCACCAGGAAGCCTCTTGTGCTCCTGCAAATCAAAGCATGAGGGAAAACAAGGCCCCAGAATGTCATGCCTGTCATGATGCCCGAAACCATGGGCATATGCCCCGGAGGCAGCGGATGTAAATTTCAGATCTGCTTGCTTCCAAAGCACTTGAGTGGAGGGAGCATTGCTAATGAGCTGCTTCAAAAGGACTTAGCAATTTAGGAGCACAAGTCCCATTGGGAGTGAGACGCTCTGAATGCCAAACCTCTCTGAGGGGCCTCAGGGGTGGGCGAGTCAGACCCTGACTAGCGTCCGTAGCGAATGCAGTTCTGGTTCAGTTTAGCAGAGGGTAGCAACACACACAGTTTACCGGCCTTTTACAGTAGATGGTCTCTATATGGGTTAGGGCAGGAGTTTTCAAACTTCGTGATGCCACGACCCCCCTCTAAGTTGCTCACGACCCCCCATGGAGTCAGGACCCACAGTTTGAGAAACAATGGGGTGAGGGGATGATGTGCAGGAAATGGGCAGATGGAAGGGCTTTGGCCAATGCTGCACGCTCCACATGGAGGTTAAGGAGAATGAAGGGGTGCTGACAGCTAGCTCTCCTCATGCATGTGTCCTGTCCTCCTTCCCCCCAATCCATCTCCAGTTCTACCTCCTCTCCATTGCCAAGAACCCTTTCATCTGTGACTTTTATTACCTGCCTCTCTTTTCCATTTCCGCCTAATAGATTGCTCAGCAAAATGCCGGGCATGGTACACAACATTCGCCTTACAGACCGGTCACATTCCAAACGTGTCCAGGCAACAAGGGCTTGATTTTCGCAAGTGCTGAGCATTGG